CATGAAGGATATGTTTCTTCGAGTTATTCCAGCATAGCCATAACACTTTGTAATACTAACTTGATAGGCCAAACCAAAGAATATACTTGATGATCGTCCCTTTTTTCAGAAGAAATGGGGAGAGTGGGCGGATTTTATTATTACTTCGAAGTATTTGATATGCATCATTGCGTAATCAGTATAGTGTACGAGTGTGTAAGAGTGGTGATCTCTGTGGTAGTCATGCTACCCTACACTACGCTATGCTACACTTAGCACCCTGCATCATGTAGTCGACCCGGCCAGCGGATACTACATATACACACGTATACGTCCGCGCAACTCGCATTTGTCGTGTACACCGGCCGGGACAGGACATTTTCGGCACAGACTGAACCTCTGCTAATAATAATATTTCTCGGGCGGCCCCTGAATTTGGGGCAGGCGGGGACGATCATCAAGTATATTCTTTGGCATGGCCTTATATTATCTGAACGAACACCTGCAGCACATTGTTTTTCACTTGCAGCTTCTCTGCTCTACTACTAAACTGGCATTTGTTTCTCCATTCTTCTAGCCCTTCTCATTGAATGGAGTTACTGTTGAACCGAACCCAAGAAAACTGGACAGGATTGCTATCGACTTTGACTTTACGTAAGCACATGTGTGGTGCGGTGGGGTTCACTTTGTAGCTCGTACAAAGCCTGGCCCTTGGCGCTGTACCGGTGGAATCCCGATAATTCGAACCCCAAATTTCAAGGAAAACCTTCACTTATCTGGACACCCTAATCATTCAAACATGTACCCACAACATCGGCAATATGCATGTCAAAATGCTCGCATTGCTGTAGTGAGGTGCGATCTGTACTATAGACCCAGATTCCGCACACTCTGAACTTGCCCAGTACAGCCCCCTTGTGCCCACCACACTAACTTGTATGAGTATAGTGTACGGTGAACTTTGAATTATCAGCAGGAATCCCACACAATTTCCATGTTACCAGATTTCATCATGGGAACTTCTAATTAGGCCGACTTGCACAGTTCGAAGTTTGACTCACACACTGTCATTTGGGATCGTATTAGCTGTGAAATCAGTCCAGGAAGAAAGTTCTAATTAAGCGGTGCATCCAAACTAAAATGCCCTACTTTGAATTATCATGATTCGACCGGTACTTTGTAGCACATGCAAAGCTAGACCTCTGACATTGTATTAGTCAGGAGCAAAGTAGCCCAGTGCAGCACCTTTGTAAGAATGCCGGTGGAGGAACTAGCACATTGACAATGATTGATGTCGTCACGGTCAATCGTCTTGGGCTTTACACCTGTCATGTCGTGCAGTTTGACCTGCAAGTTCCACTGAACAGGTCTTGACTGAATTGCTATGGAACCGAAGCTGAATTCGAGGGTGATGTGTATGATTCCACTGGCTGATCACTTGGCTTGAAAACATGACCGAGACAAATAGCGATAGGGGCTCAATGAGTTTAGATTTTAATGGGGAAAGTAGCCATGTCCGTACATGACTACCGGTATGCATGTTGTCACTCAGTCACTTGTACTTTAGTCGCACACTAACACTTGTATGTATACATATCTTCACAGTGCTAACTTGCGATTGCCTTGTCTTTCTTGGTTGCCAGTTACGACGGTAATCCAGACATTGATGCAACACTCGCTGGTGCACCGCTTGGTATTGACAATGTGAAGGTAAACATTCTTGAATTTGGATGACATTATATTATAAACATTAACACGCATGCACTCGCTATTGCAGACCAGTGGAGAGCACACATCATATGGAGGATTCATGGAGTGCTGGGCAACCGAATCTGGCATGTGATAATCATGTAGGATAGTCCACGCACGAGGTGCAGCCCATGAAATGGGCACCCATGAACTGGGCGGAGTGTGGACGGCCTGTATGATAGTGTGTATGTATGTCCACGCACAAAGTGCAGCCCATGAGATGGGCGCCCATGAAATGGACGGAGTGTGGACGGCCCACACACACGAGGTGCAGCCCATGAAATGGGCACCCATGAACTGGGCGGAGTGTGGACAGCCTGTATGATAGTGTGTATGTATGTCCACGCACAAAGTGCAGCCCATGAGATGGGCGCCCATGAAATGGACGGAGTGTGGACGGCCCACGCACGAAGTGCAATGCCCGTTAGGAGGCAGGAGTGTGGGAGTATGAGTGTGATGGCCGAAGGCCGTGATAATTGCCAGATGAGAGGAGATAGCTGGCCCAGCACTCCTATTTATTTTCGTCTTGCATGAATTATGATACCTGTGTTGAATCAAGGATATCAATATTATTCATAGATGGGAAGAGGTGGGTGGGTGAGAAAGGAACAAACCGGTGTTCTTCTCACTACCCAAGCAAAGCAAATATGAAGTAGCAATGTGGCCAGCGCGAAGTATGGTGTATGCGTTACGGGTTCAAGCTCCGATGTGTGCTGCAGCCGCATATGGCTGGTTGGCTGGCGAGTTCAGGTGAGTTCCGGCGTACGCATGTTACATGCCACCACAGCGTGCATGTACGTGTTACTTGACATGCATCAATGAATAGCGTGGGATCTGCGGGCTCTTTGGAAGCCGCTGGAGCGCGTGTGAAGTGGTGGCTTGTGCAATGTGTTAACCTACATTACCGCAAGCTCTAATGTGTTTATATAAGAATGCTCCTGTTGCGCCTATGATGCCCCATATGTTGTGTGTATGTTACCATACGACCAGCCAATCAAACGTTGACCCATAGTTCATTCGTATCTAGGCACTGGAGTGTTGTTTACACCACATACTTGATGAAGTCTCGCATGCTTCCTGGCCCGCTTCATCCTGAAGACCACAATTACCGGAATGTTGACTTGTAAAAAGTCTGCCATGCCTCCTGGCCAACTTCATCCTGAAGATTGTCACAATGATTGAAATGTTGACCATCGTTTTGCAATGAAGCTGAGTGAACAGTCATTCACAATTTGAAAAAAGTGCTAGTATCAAATTTAATGTGTGATCCCCTTCACTTCCAAGATTTGCACCCCTGACATATGCATCCCTATGTCTTGTTCTATGTATAGTTTGCAGGTCGCCTCAGAGTCATTATCGGGCCACTCATGCATCAGCTACCCATCATTGGGGCAATTTCATTCTTCTTTGTTCATGAGCCGGTAAGTGTTCAGTTAATGAGGATTAGAGTTGCTAAGTTGCTGCAGTCACCATGCCATTCAGTGTTGCACCCTATTGAGTCCTATCAGGTGTTTATGTGAAAGTATTCAGATGTCAGTGTACACATCAATTCTGTACTTCCTCTACCAGACGTTTGACTTCAACCTGACTGGAATCCTGCAAGTCGGCGACTTTTGGATAATCCGGTACTTCACATCATTAGCAGTATCTTTTGCTAGGGCTTGTGTGTAGGTAGCTACCGGCACTTTCATATTATTATAATAGTGTGTGTGTGGGGTGGGGGGGGATGTAGTAAGAATTGTCACATCAGCCTGGATTTAAGTCGAAAGTGGACCGGGCCTTCCAGGACAGGAAAGCAAGGCCTACAGTATACTCAACACAGATAAGCAGCTCAGTTAGAGTCTGAGTGCATTGTGTTTGACTGCATGACCATGACCCAGTTAGCTCTCCTAGAGATGGCACATTATGGTTGCTCATCCATTCTTTAATGACACAGGGTACTTTTTTAGGACTTGATGCCTTGTTCACAACATTGTCACTTCTTTCAGGTGCGAAATAACTTCATTACAGATAATATATAGCAATGAAAAATATCAATTGTGCACTCATAACCATGTATAAACAATTAAAATGAAACAATTCCAGAACGTTTTCGTATGACTATCATCAGTGGAACATCGTCACATAATAAGAATCACTAAAACAACCAGTTATATAGCTAGAATATGAACAGAACCGTGAGAATGCAGCACAGCTAGCGGTTATGCATAACGCGTGTAGTGTGAACCTTTGCAGTGTATCTGAGAATGGTAGCAGTAGATGAATGTGGCAGCTGTGAGTGCATGTGGACAAAACTGGTGAGTGCGTATTATTTAAAAAGTGTGAGTGCAACAACATTTTCTTTTTGCTTGCATAGAACAGGGTCACGTGTGCGAATATATACAGCTTCCAACACCTGCAACTGCTTAAAGAAACGTGCGCAACAAATAACACTAAACCAGGAATCGTCAAACAACTTACGACAATCCGGACTGGACACCAAATGCTTGTAAATGGCAGACTTGCTCTTGTCGATGTCGAACTCCTCCTCGTCAGTATCACTCTCATCCTCCACTTCCTGTTCCTGCTCACCCTTGCTTTCCTCCTGACCATCCTGTTCATCCCCATCATCATCCTCCATCTCCTCATGCCATCGCTTCTTTCTCCTTGACGCATTCACTGCTGCGCCCGTACTTCCCCCTGCCGCTACTGGTTCCGCCTTCTCGCAAGCAGGCCAAAGCGTGGGAGGCCACGAAAACACCCGTTGGCTACTACTACGCCTGTCAGTATTACAACACAACCAGGAACGGATACAACACCGGAATCAACAGGAGCGCAACACATGAATCTGGTGTCACTCTTGACGACAACACCACGGCATGGGAGACCGCCGGACGATCGTTCGTTAACAAACCCGACGGCGGTAACGGAAAGATCACCAGGAGAACGAAACGAAAATGGAGGAAAAACGAATCTGAGGAGAAACCAGAGACTAGCGGAGACACGACTGAGAAAAATCGAGTAGGCGGAACCAGTAGCGGCAGGGGAAAGTACGGGCGCAGCAGTGAACGCGTCAAGGAGAAAGAAGCGATGGTATGAGGAGATGGAGATGGAGGATGATGATGGGGATGAACAGGATGGTCAGGAGGAAAGCAAGGGTGAGCAGGAACAGGAAGTGGAGGATGAGAGTGATACTGACGAGGAGGAGTTCGACATCGACAAGAGCAAGTCTGCCATTTACAAGCATTTGGTGTCCAGTCCGGATTGTCGTAAGTTGTTTGACGATTCCTGGTTAAGTGTTATTTGTTGCGCACGTTTCTTTAAGCAGTTGCAGGTGTTGGAAGCTGTATATATTCGCACACGTGACCCTGTTCTATGCAAGCAAAAAGAAAATGTTGTAGCACTCACACTTTTTAAATAATACGCACTCACCAGTTTTGTCCACACACACTCACAGCTGCCACATTCATCTACTGCTACCATTCTCAGATACACTGCAAAGGTTCACACTACACGCGTTATGCATAACCGCTAGCTGTGCTGCATTCTCACGGTTCTGTTCATATTCTAGCTATATAACTGGTTGTTTTAGTGATTCTTATTATGTGACGATGTTCCACTGATGATAGTCACACGAAAACGTTCTGGAATTGTTTCATTTTAATTGTTTATACATGGTTATGAGTGCACAATTGATATTTTTCATTGCTATTTTACGACTGTTGTCTCCTCGTCGGCTATTTAAACAGATAATATAGTAAATATTTCACTAATCTCTGCTGCCCTCTTTCCCTCCTACCCCCCCCCCCCCCCCATACACACACACGCACCCGGCATGAATACACACACACACGCGCATGCATGCACGCACGCACGCACACACGTGCGTGCGCACACACACACACACACAATAACAGAAATGCAGTCGACAGCGCAGTCAGGACCTGCATCCAGGAAATTGCCATTCTGCCAAATCGGCAGGTGATTCTCCTGGACAAGACTGGTGCAGTGGATGCGAACCTGGTCAAGCATCCATTCCCACAGGTAGGGCGACCCCGCTATACTGAGACAAGTAGCGAGTACCATATTTCCAGTGAATACCGTATTTCCCTGGATATATAAGTTGAATCTTTTTACACTAAATTGAAGGGTAAAAAGGGGGTGCGACTTACAACCGAGCATAACGTTTACTACTGAAGTGAATAATATATCAAAATGATTATGGCTTAAATCTGAAAATGTGGCTGCAACTTATAATCGAGGAATACGGTAGGTAAATATCCTGTAGTAACCAGGGAGTAGTACAATACCCGTATTGTACTACTCCCTGGTAGTAACAGAGAATTGCACCCCGCTTTAGACTCATGGCGTTGTTCTTGTAGAGTCCAGTCAACGGGGTGTTGCGGCACCAATCCAGGCCTCATTTAGCGGCATGCTGGTATGATTTTATAATCCTACATGTAGTCACACTTCTGAACTTTGATCATCATACTGATTACTACTTGGGCAAATGACAGAAGCCACACATGCAGCAACTGATGATTAGAAGAATGGCAGAAGCCACACATGCAGCAACTGATGATTAGAAGAATGGCAGAAGCCACACATGCAGCAACTGATGATTAGAAGAATGGCAGAAGCCACACATGCAGCAACTGATGATTAGAAGAATGGCAGAAGCCACACATGCAGCAACTGATGATTAGAAGAATGGCAGAAGCCACACATGCAGCAACTGATGATTAGAAGAATGGCAGAAGCCACACATGCAGCAACTGATGATTAGAAGAATGGCAGAAGCCACACATGCAGGAACTGATGATTAGAAGAATGGCAGAAGCCACACATGCAGCAACTGATGATTAGAAGAATGGCAAGAATACATGCAGCAACTGATGATTAGAAGAATGGCAGGAATACATGCGGAAACTGATGGCAAGGAAATAGTAATGACAAGAGCACAATGTCATGTACTGTCCTCAGCTCAGCATGTGTTTTTCAATAGCAGAAACTTTCTCAATGCTTAAAGTTATAATTTTTCCTCTACGCTGTGATCCGATTGTAGATGTGTTTTGCGTCTGATATCCTTTGCAGAGTGTAATGTTTGTTACCATTGTCGACATCACGAATGTGGAGGACAAAGATTTGTTCGGCGGGGGATCGGATGTCTACGTCCAACTCAAAGGTTGGTGCATAAAATAAGTTGTTTCCTGATATGGATACATTGGGGCCACAATACCTCAAAAGCAACACTAGATACTTTGGTGTTATATTATTGCTCTCTTGTGAAGATGGTGGTCATAATATGACATAATAATGGGGGGGGAGGGAGGGAGGGATGGAGGGAAGGGCTAGAGTCTCACTGTGGTACGTTATAATACTAGTACCATAGTGGCAGTTTTTGGGAGTATGCTATACAGTGGCAATTGGTCAGGCGCTCATTGCATTGAAGAACAATTGTAGCGAATCTGTTAAAACCCCACTATCTCCCAATAGCTAGCTGTTTCAACCTTGTGAGGTCTCATCAGCGGAGCTTAGAGTGATCGACGAAACCCCTGTTTTGCACATTTTGATGGGTCAACTTTTTCGGAATAACTTGCAGACCAACTGGACCGGTACCGGGTGCTACAGCCCAGCAAAGTATTTTTAAACCGGCTGACAGCATCAAAGTCAGAATAAAAAAATTCTCTTTTCATTCCCTCGAACCGAAGAATATAATTCGATAATCAGAATGCTGTTTCTCTTGCATACATCTGCTACCTATAGAACTGCCACAGTACTCCTGGTTGTACAGGTACCGCGTTTACTAAAGTTAACTGCTGCTAACTTTCCTGTGTTTTGCTCAGTGGGTGGCAGTGAGTACCGGACTTCGGTGAAGGATGATGTAGAGACGACCACGGTTATCTTCAATGAACGAGTTGATGTGAGTGAGAGCATGATCGTGGTGTATAAATGTGGCCGATCAGTGTTCCACCAAATCAAATCCAGCAAATGATGCATACTGTATGTGTGCGGTTAGATAGCGGAACTCGCACACTGTTCTACTGTCACTAGTCTGTTAGCTAGTGAATTTCAGGCTTGGGCATTCGGTCAAGTAGTTGCTGAAAGCTAGGGCATTCGGTCAAGTAGTGGCTGAAAGCTAGGGCTGCTAGGTATAGGGCTGTATGTGTACATGTCAATCTAAGTCTCCGAGGATAGCCCCAATTCTGCCACTGTCTGCGTTGACCATATTCACATTTTACCATTGGTTCCTGCATGCTATGCTGTACCCTTCCCAGTATTCCTCACGATAACCATACCGAGGTCCCGGGAGTGAGGGGTGGGGGGGGGGGAGTGGGGGGAGGGGAGTGGGGGGAGGGGAGTGGGGGGGGGGGGGGGAGAGACCCTTCTAACTGTCAGGTTACTCATCATGAGGCCACATCTGTATTAAGTGAGATGTGTGCTGCCAGTGAAATAATAAAGTGTTGGGTTTGGGAGGGAGAGAGGAAAGGGTAGAGAAACGGAAGGGGTCAATGTTTGTCATGCATACACTTACTAGAACATGTTCTCATTATTTGATGAGCAGATGTTGCTGGAAGAGACGTTTGATCAGATTCTTACCATCAGCGTGTTTGATGAGGACAACCTTCTCAGTGATGACACACTTGGACAGTAAGTCATCGCCCAAGCAGTCTAACCAGATCCCTCAGTGCGGAAAGCAGTCTAACCAGATCCCTCAGTGCGGAAAGCAGTCTAACCAGGTCCCTCAGTGCGGAGGTGTTGTTTAGCACCATAGTCTAACCAGATCCCTCAGTGCGGAGTTGTTGTTTAGCACCATAGTCTAACCAGATCCCTCAGTGCGGAGGTGTTGTTTAGCTCCATAGTCTAACCAGATCCCCTAGTGCGGAGTTGTTGTTTAGCACCATAGTCTAACCAGATCCCTCAGTGCGGAGGAGTTGTTGTTTAGCACCATCATGAGTCCAACCAGATCCCTCAGTGCGGAGTTGTTGTTTAGCTCCATAGTCTAACCAGATCCCTCAGTGCGGAGTTGTTGTTTAGCTCCATAGTCCAACCAGATCCCTCAGTGCGGAGGTGTTGTTTAGCTCCATAGTCTAACCAGATCCCTCAGTGCGGAGTTGTTGTTTAGCTCCATAGTCTAACCAGATCCCTCAGTGCGGAGGTGTTGTTTAGCTCCATAGTCTAACCAGATCCCTCAGTGCGGAGTTGTTGTTTAGCTCCATAGTCTAACCAGATCCCTCAGTGCGGAGGTGTTGTTTAGCTCCATAGTCTAACCAGATCCCTCAGTGCGGAGGTGTTGTTTAGCTCCATAGTCTAACCAGATCCCTCAGTGCAGAGTTGTTGTTTAGCACCATAGTCTAACCAGATCCCTCAGTGCGGAGTTGTTGTTTAGCTCCATAGTCTAACCAGATCCCTCAGTGCGGAGTTGTTGTTTAGCTCCATAGTCTAACCAGATCCCTTAGTGCGGAGGTGTTGTTTAGCACCATAGTCGAACCAGATCCCTCAGTGCGGAGGTGTTGTTTAGCTCCATAGTCTAACCAGATCCCTTAGTGCGGAGGTGTTGTTTAGCTCCATAGTCTAACCAGATCCCTTAGTGCGGAGGTGTTGTTTAGCTCCATAGTCTAACCAGATCCCTTAGTGCGGAGGAGTTGTTGTTTAACACCATACCTTTTTCCATGTCAGGGTATGCAGTAACTCACTTTTTTTTCGGCATGAATTTGCGTGGTTATTTCATCTTGGACAGCAGCAGGAAATGATAACACGTGTACAGTGAGTACGACCGGCACTTTGTAGTGTACACCACAACAAGCTCAGCACATGCACATGTATATCTGAAATTTCCCTTTACCGGGATAATCTCAAAGATGACCAGTTGTTCAAACAAACAAAGAGTAACAGAAGGATAGTACTTAGATGAACGTGTTGCTCTCTGTTTGAACTTCCTCCTGCCAGCACATCTGTCAATCTTTCATCCGTCGCAAAAGACACCACCATTTCTCTCAAGCTGTCGGACACGAAGAAGGAGAGCAACATTACGCTCTGCTTCCAACCCATGCTGCTGTCACAATGGAAGCCAATAGTCAGCCCAAGGAAAGACGTAAGAATATTGTCACCATGTGGTTCACCTGGTTGCTACCGTAGGCTGTATTGTGCCATGTAACATCACATCTCTGCTCATGTTGAAAGAAAGGGAAGAAATCCTCCATTTGCCCTGGTCAGACACATAACTCAAAGTCGAAGTTGTCAGGTTGCTCACAGGTTGCTTACAAATTAACTAGGGCTCAAACGGTCACGGTTTTACCCCCAACGGTTAACTGCTAAGCTAACGGTCGGTTTAACGGTTATAACCTATAAGCCACGGCAATCCTGCAGACTCTTTTTTAACCGTATATTTGACTATACTTATTCAAAAAATGTACCCTATTCAGTACAACGCACACATGTACATTCTCTTGCATGCTCATTCATACATACTCTCACACCAAGAGACCAGATATGACCGAGTTGACAGCCCAGAAATTGCGTACGCGTGCGACAGCCTGCGAAAGTGCATACTTTGCAACGACCTGATACTTGAAAAATTGACTGAAAAGTTACTGCGTAACCGTTATCTTTATCGGTTAACCGTTAATTCTTCGTAACCGGTCTGCAACCGGTTAATCGGACTAACCGTTTGAGCCCTAAAATTAACCCATAGCCAGGCATTGTCTTGGGTCTTGGCTGTCTCTCTTTCTTTCTCTATCTGTCTCTGTCTCTGTTTCTGCCTCTGTGTCTGTGTCGGTCTCTCTTTCTGTCTCTGTCCATCCCTGTCTCTGTCTGTCTGTCTGTCTGTCTGTCTGTCTGTCTGTCTGTATGTCTGTCTGTCTGTCTGTCTGTCTGTATGTCTGTGTGTCTGTCTCCTTTCCTCTTTCTCTGTCTCTCTTTTCTGTCTGTCGTGTCTGTCTGTCTGTCTGTCTGTCTGCCTGCCTGCCTTTCTGTCTCTGTCTGTCTGTCTCCTTTCCTCTTTCTCTGTCTCTCTTTTCTGTCTGTCTGTTTGTCTGTCTTTCTGTCTGTCTGTCTGTCTGTCTGCCTGCCTGCCTGCCTGACCGTCTGTCCGTCTGTCTGTCTGACCGTATGTCTGTCTGTCTGCCTGTCTAACTGTATGTCTGTCTGTCTGCCTGTGTTTCTCTCATTAGATATCTGGTGAAACACTTCCCTCCCATTTGCTTATCGTGAAAATTGGAGCCGTGTATGACCTTCCGAATGCAGTAAGTACATGATCTGGAAGGTGGTTCTTTGTATTTACCAACTATGGACCAACCATACCTTGCTTTTGGTCACTATGACGGCTGCAGTGGATGACAACTGCCATGCACTGTAAACATGTTTCCTGAAGATAGTCATCGTGCATGTAGATTGTCCCGCATTCAAAAATTGAGCTATTTTCCAATATCCCCATCATATTTTCTACCATATCCGAGCCACTTGCATTAGGGTTGCATGTCTCCTGCCCATTGTTAGACATGATATAACCTAATAGCTAGTAATCGCATGCTCATTACTTCTTCGAAGTGAAGATGTCTTCTATGTGGTTTACCGTTCCATTTAGTCACCAGAATCAAACGTCCTGGAGCACACTTTGGCTGCAAAGTTGGTGATATGAGCGCACACATTGCTTTGTTCGTTATGAGACTGCAATGCAGCACTGTTAGGAATGGCGTGGGCATTGTTTTCAGGCTAGCGAATCCAGTGCATGTTGTGTGCCGTGTTCTGTCAGGACAGCAACGGCTACACAGCAACAGTGTCATTGCTAGATCATGAACCGCAGAAGGTAGGTGTCGTGGTCTCGAACTCGTTGGTCACTCAGTGAACTAATTTTATTGTAAAGAAGACACGAACTTAGAGAATGTGAAGAAGAGTATAGCGAGATAGAGAGCGGTGGGTGAAGAGCCGCTGGACAGCTGGATCGTGTATCAATAAGCGCACTGGGGGAAGGCTAGAGAGTATGTCTCTAGACCTCAATAGGCATTGTAGGAAAGGCCAGTCAATAGTACTGAGGAGTGAAGTCAACAAGAACACAGTCAATAGCTTCAGACAATCATGACAGGCATGGCACAGATAATACAACAGTAGGTGCACAGAGAAACACAATAATATGCTTCCCATGATGATTGCATAATGCATAATTATAACACGAGGTTGCGATGAGCTATTCTTGCCCACCATTGTGCAGACATGCAATGCCATGTTGCATGTAAAAACGCAGCGGAGGGTCAATGCGTGAAGTGTGAAGCCTAATGTGCCCGATGTGTCTCCTTCTCCTTCTCTTGCAAGACTGCAGGTTACCAATGGTCTCTTACAGTGGATTTTCAAACACACCTCATGTCCAGTATATATCTCTGTTTGCATATTTCTATCAATCCACCCTCTTTAGAAATCTCTAGACATCGTTACTGATGCGGAGAGTGGCACAGTGCTGAATCATTCACCTGCAGAAGACAACCGTCAGTGCCGGTTTCTCATTTCAAGAGTGGATGGAACTATCACAATTGAGGTAAGAAGCTCGGCATAGTAGTGTAAGCCATGCGGAAGTTGGGTCAGGGTGCCTCATTGTTATCGCATAATAATGCTTGTTTTTACATCTGTGTGTGCGCGCGTGTGTGTGTGTGTGCGTGTGTGTGTGTGTGTTTTTGTGTGCGTGCGTGTGTGTGTGGTGTGTGCTTGCATGCATGTGCATGTATGTGTCTGTGTGCACTCCATGATCCCGGCATTGATCTGTGTGTACTCCATTATCCCGGCATTGATCTGTGTGCACTCCATGATCCCGGCATTGATCTGTGTGCACTCCATGATCCCGGCATTGATCTGTGTGCACTCCATGATCCCGGCATTGATCTGTGTGCACTCCATGATCCCGGCATTGATCTGTGTGCACTCCATGATCCCGGCATTGATCTGTGTGCACTCCATGATCCCGGCATTGATCTGTGTGCACTCCATGAACCCGGCATTGATCTGTGTGCACTCCATGATCCAGGCATTGATCTGTGTGCACTCCATGATCCCGGCATTGATCTGTGTGGCATGCAGATATCTGACCGGGACGTCAGCATAGGTCAGTTCAATCTAACGTTCGACAACTTGAGGATGGCTGAGGAGATGTGCATCAAGGGACAGTTCACACTGGATAGCGGTACTCTGCTGGATCTGCACTACCAACTCTTTGTAAGTACATGCTGTGCCATGGTGCACCGCTATACACCATAGTGCACCATTTCACACTGTAGTACAGTCATGCATGAAACACTACTCCTTTCACTGTAGTAGACCGCAGTAGATGTATGCCACAGCACACCACAGCGCTCCACAGCACACCACAGCGCTCCACAGCACCGCACTGCAGAACTCTATGCGGCACACTACAGTACTCTATGGCACAGCATGGTACTGATGATGGCAAGCCATAACACGCCTTGTTGAGTTGCAAAGCACATATAGTAACCAACAATCCCAGTACAGAAAAAGTTTCCATTGAAAAATATACATGCAGTGGAGATTGTAAGGTGGTTGCTACAAAGTAACTATGCTCGTGAGACTGCATTGCACTTGAACTCAGCTGACCGTAAATTTTGATCTTGGCCTTGACTTACCAGTAATGCACCGAAAGAAGGAAATTCTTGTAAATCATAGTAAGGCCACACTGAAGAAGGTCTGTGGTTCGACTCACCCGACCTACCGTACATTTTTCAGCCCGACCGTAACTTTTTTTCGGTGGGCTGTCGTGTGACTGACGTAGAACACGTCCACGTCTACGTGCTGTGCAGCGTGAGTCTGCGGACGCAGGCGGCTCCTTTTGGACTTGACTTGTAGTTGTACTGCAATGCAGTGCAGTGAGTGGTAGAATCTACGACTGCTGCCTTGTGCTGGTAGTACGAGCGTAGAGTCTACTCGATACGACCACCGGCAGACTGGCGAGACTTATTTTGAAGTGACCGTCCGGTTGAGAGTGATTGCCTCGTTCCAGATTAAGGACGGCCTTCTGTTTTGGGATGAAGGACAGACGAGATTGCACTTTCCTCGTGTATTGGGAACGATGTTTCACCTGTACCGGTTGCTGCTCCATGTGTGCAAGCCGCACAGGAAGCGTCGATGGAAAAAGCCCATGTATTCGTGCACGCCGACACCAAACTAGCAATACATGTACCGGTACATTGTACAATTTGTACTTCGAAGTAGTTCCCAAACTTACTTTCAACTCGCATCGTTCTTCATTTGCTTGATGATTTGGACAGTCAGAGTCACCGCTTGAAGTTATTCTCTTCTCGTTCCAGAGCTACACAATGTTTCAAAGTATTAGCCAGTGATCCCTTTATACAACATGTATGGCATAACACTGCGTAATAATGCCGATGTACTGGGTGTCTAAAGGCAGTACAGTGTATTTACATGTTCTAAAAAATATATTAAAAAAAAAATCCGCCCGCCCGCCCGTAAAAAAAATGTCCATGTTAGTCGAACCACACACCTTCTTTAGTTTGGCCTAATGAGGATAGACGTGGAAAATGAACACGAGAGGAGGGACCAGAGTCCAGGAGTGCGAAGAATACAGTGGATGTGGTATCAGTAGGAGTAATTGTACGCAGTGTAGACAGTGTAGTCAGTGTAGTTGCCGGCGTGTAGTTGTAGTTCATGTCGATTTTGTATGGCAACTTTACCACTGAATACCGCTGAGCTAGTGAGCAGTCACGATACACGACTGTACAGTATGCACCTACGGGGGAAATAGTGGGTTTGGATTAGAGCTTGGCCGAGCAGGTTAAATCTGGATCATGAGCTAAATATTGAACTGATCTGATGGCGAGCTAGATGTCCGCATACCGAAACCAGTTCAAGTTGAGTTGTGTATCTTTGGAATCCCTTGGTTACAGGGAGCACAGTAGATGGTGTTAGCACAAGCTTGAAAATTAAATTTCATTAGGTTAGAAGAGCTTACAAACGTTTGCTCCTTGCTTTTAAAAGTCTGAACCGGGCCCTCACTTCACACTCTTTGTCTGTTGATCCCGTTTATCAAGATATCCCCTTATCAGATGAAATCTTCATAACAAAGGTCGAATTTGGGCTTCTCACGAAAGTCTCCCCAGTCGAGAAAGTAATTAGTTTTTACTTCTATCGTATGTAATGTTCCTTGCTTTCGAGCATTTCTGAATTCTGAATTTTTCTCTTGTTTTCCTGTCTTGCTGGCCCTAACAGGGAATTGTTCCATGCCCATGAATTGGTGGTCTACATCCATCTCAATCAAATACTCCACATGACATTCACTGATGTTAACATCGTGCTTTTGCCCTGGCCCTGCATTGGTTTTTGCACTATCATTCTATTCAAGCACTGAATTTGGAGAACTGTACTTACTTTACACTATACACGGTGATACTTTTACGGCACATGTTTCGACGTGTAGCCCTCAGTGCCAGCGATGTGTTGCTATGTTCCCTGTGAGTTTGCACAGTCCGCAGATTTACCACAGAACATGCGTGTATACTCTCAGCTCAACATTGCAAGTGCAATGTGCCGCGCTGCTGCTCTAACTGTCTTGCACAATGCTTATGACGCCAGCTGCATGTTTTCTACACCTTGCCTCGCCTAAGGTGCAATGCTGTGTTGCTTATCATCTACCTGTGATCTTCTTTCAAATCATCAATGTTGGTAGTAAGTTGCTGCTAGCTTTGCCATGACCCACTATGACTATGACTATGGTGGATTGTGGTGGTGCATGGGGCTTGCCGCATACTTGTGTACTTCGTACAGCTCCGGATTTTGTACAGTTCTTCGGGTGACATATATTTGACCGCTGACCAACGATCAACGAGGACCCTATCCCTAGTACTAATAAGACTTATTAGTAATATTCTTGCCATGATCTCATGGTGTTGATCCAACCCAGTAAATCTACTAAAATGGTACAAACAGAAAGCTACCTTTTACAGCGGAATTCTCCGTGAAGTCCAAGTTTGGAACAGCGGAACATGGTAATAATTATTATAAAGATCGAATGATGGAATCTAAAGTCATAATCATTGAGTGGAGGTGGCTTTTAAAAACAATGAATGAGCTTGTAGATCGATAGAGTGTACTACAACATGTACGTGCATAGACCATGCCTGATGGTAAAGACTAATTAAAGACTAAGTAAAGTAAGTTTGTTACGTGTGACCTGCTTCCGCACGGCTCTGGCAAGAGCCCATCGACGTGTATGTGCGTGTTGACTCCCATAATGGACTCTGGTCCAGTCGGACTTGTGGTGTGACTTGCCTTTAGCCTACAACCGGTTAACAATGCAGTCCTGTCGGGTGAGACACTACACTACATATTATACATAGGCTGTCGTCGTGTCGAGTGTCGTCCGGCAGAGTCGATGATCTACCGATGCGCGGCGCGGAGAGACCATGTTGTCACTTCCTTCACCATGGTCACTAGCACAGTGGCCACAACTGAACTCTATCACTCTTTCTCTCCTACACTACAGACTCAGTACTTCACTTGTCCAAGCAGAGGATAGCTTCCACTAAAAAGCTGCAGGAGGTCATTTACGACGACGCGCAACCGTTGAATGTTGTGCTTTCCGTGGACGGTTCTTTTTACTGATATAAGGCCGCTGGAGAGGAAAGAGGGTCTCATGTCGACCATAGCGACTGGACCCGAGTGGAGCCAATAAACCTTTGTGAACCAGCTCCTTTCAAGAGGAGTGCCGAATCCTGTGTGTTGACGTTGCCGTGGACATTTCCTTTGCGAGGACCCGCTTCTTATCCAGGTTCGGTACTCTCACTCTCATGCTCAGTCTTGTTTGCGCATGTCATAAAACTAGGGCCGGGAGGTACAAGGTGAAACACTGCTACTGCATGCTGTATGCAGAATATTTCGTATTGTGAGTTGCGTGCTTGGAGAAAGATAATTCTCATCACACACTGACTGTGCCATGCAGTACATGTATGTACAATAGACGAAGCAAGAAACAGTATATTAGCGAGGTTTTGCATTCCGAATTTCGGTTCAGCGTTCTTCGGTCATTTGTCGAACATCAAAATGTCGAATTTTTGCACCAACGTTTGTTTTGCAAGTCGAAAAAGATGTGTTTTCATTTCGTGAGCCCCAGCATCAGCAACGTCCTGTCCCGTGCTCCTCTTCTTGCTGATTCCAACGAACTTTGATCGCCCAAAGAGTCGAGGGCCAAACCTGCCTCCTCAGTCGCCTCAGAAAAATCAACTCCATGGCCAAGTCAAATTTTATGCGTATCGCCATAGTCTTTTCAGCCACACAGATGACGGTGAGGACATTCCAGGCGAAAGAGAGTAGACAGGCAGTGGAGAGGAGCAATCAGAGGTAGCTGACGATGCTGATGTCGCCAGAGACGCCTGCAAAGCGATGCCGAGATAAGAAACATCTTTGAATAAATCACGCGCTAGCGCTCTTGTACAAGAAAATTCATCCGAAAAATATTTTCGGCAAAGTGAGCTTTTTCCGAACAAACATGCCGAATCTTCGTGTGCATTTTCGACCTCGCTCCCGCGTGCCGAATCTTTTTTGCCGAATTTCGGAATGCAAAACCTCACTATTTTCCAAGAGGTCTTTTCGCGCATTTCATACTTCCAGTCCCGAATCAGTGCAACCACGGTGATAACTGGTATAGAGCTTCGCCAACGTTTCATTATTGGCGGAGAAATAGTGATGAAATCAACTAGTGACCTGTGCCGTTCGTTCTAATGGAACTCCTCGTCTCGGCACAAAACTGACCTGTTCTTTTCACAATACAACCATGCTGTTGTATCACTATCGGATGTGTTCTCTATCCTAGTTTCGGACCAATGTACAATCTTCACTATAAATCGTTCAAAACCTAAACAGGTTGCTCTAAAGGCCATCGGAGTGATGACTTCGCGGCTTCTTGAAAATGTGCAGCAAACAACCAAGTGGTGACAAACAAAAGGCGTGTAACCAATGTCGCTGCGTTTCCAGTGGTGACAGCATCTGGATATTGACTGGATATTGTGTGAGCTGGCAAGGACCTTTCTGATATCGTCTTGAAGAAGTTCTAAGGCCCGTAAGGCACCGTTTACATGAAAAATAACCGCGGACTTATTCAACCATAAGATTACCATAAGCCCGCCTTGAACTGTCACCCAGTCATTTTTAGAGCTCTCGTTCACATGTAGTACAATGTAATGTTACATGGTATGGCGGGCTTATTCAGCTCACCCTGAGCTGAACTAGCCCTACCCCAGACTATCGAGCCATTGAACCCTCAGGACTATCTCGTGTAAATGGTCAAGAAAATAAGCCCTGGGCGTTTAAGCGAGTTTTCTCCCCGTATTTTTCGACTTTGCCTCTAGAACCTGAGAAGATTTCGCCTTAGACACTCCGCCCCTTTGCAATTGTCTTGGCAATTTTCTTCAGACTCTTCGTTCAGTGAAGGCTTCGCCTTTTCAAAAAATAATGACAACCTGAAAAGCAGTAGAAGCATGAGCAGCCACTTCTTGATCCAAATTTCATCATTCGCGAACATTTCCACTATGTTCATGTGGAATTTGAAAAATAAAATGGGCTGAGGGCGCGCAGTCATCCACCTGAACTCAGCCCATGTACAACTGTCATGTAAATGGCCCCTCATTGTAGAGGAATGTTGCTGTTCCTAATGTCAGCCAGTCAGTTTTCAGGCAGCATCAGTTCCAACTTTAGGAGCAGCCATCTTCTTTCGCATTCCTCTACGCAATCTCACTATTCTGAAGTGGCTGCAATCATTCACATAGATTACAGTTAACATGTGACCATTGTCCCAGTGGAAGCACATGCATTGTAAAAATAGCAATACCCTGGGAGGTGAGGGGATATGCAAACCCGCAACTGAGTTACACCAAGTAAATGCCGGCATTGCTGTTCAGTTTGATAGTACATTGTATTGTTATGGTGTTCATTGTGGTTCATTGCTCAAAATTACCCCCCCCCCCCCCCCACCCCACCCCCATTAAATGTGAAAACTCCATGGGAATATAGAAGGTGAAGACAGGAAGGCATCTTTCAGAGCAGTCAAAGTTTAGCATAGCAGCTAAAAAAATGTTGTCTGAAGGACTCATTGCTGTGGATTGCTCAATCAAAATATGTTTCACAAACGAAGCTGACGAAATGAATTTTTTCTGAGGCGAGAGCCAGTGACAGCGAGCGATCATTTTGCTTTGATTTATTGCCTTCAAGTGCCTCAATTATCCCGTCAGATTGTTGTGTTACAGATGTGTTACAACCTCACTGTATGGTGCCTTGCTTAGCTTGAAAAATGGGACATGTACATTAATTCGTCATGACAAGAATAAAGAAACGTAAAGTTCGCACGTCTGTGTTACAACCGGCTTTACAATTGTGTTGAGAAACACGCCCCTGAGCTTAGGATGTTTCGCTTGGGCCAGGTCACCGCCATGCCTGTGATACCAGGGCGGCAGATGCAGCGCCTAACGGCGAGGGTGAGGTGATAACTCTCACAACCAATGCCCGGCAAGGGACAGGAATAACTGCTGCTATAGGGCTTGAAAGTGCAACGTCACAGCATAGCAACAATTTCAAAAATTCAATAACTGGATCCACTTGGATCCAGTTAAGCACATTTCAAGCGGTCTTACTCACAGCAAGGTGATGTTGCCAGTGAAACTGACTGATTTGGCTACTGGGGGCGGGGTGACAACTGGTGGCGAAGTACAAGTCACACCTGCATACTATGCTATGCACCCACATACTGAGGCAATAGCAAAGTCACATGCACCTTAGTGGATCCAAAACAGAAATCTGATGTCAACTTACTACTCCTTGGCCGTTTTTGACGTCATCACTTTCAAGCCCTATTACAGTTCATGCAGGCAGCTCCATTGCTGCTACGACATGTCCACTCATACATTGTTCCGCTTCAGAAAGGCCATCTTGCTGGTTCTCTACCATGTTGGTTTGCATGTATTTCCGTTCTGCTTCATACTTCCAACAATTTTATAATTTTCTTGGCCAGCTTGCTTCTTCTTGGCACGGTGGTCGATGGCTTATGTTTTTGGCATGAATTTTCTTTGCTGGCTTGCTTTTTCAAGTTGGGTGGCTGATGATTGGCTGCACGCCTTCCCGTGCAGCGAAAAAAGGCTGATCAGATCATATCTTGACTCTGTGCATGTGTTGTTTGTTGCCATTGCAGGAGGAAGGAGTGCAGCCATCAGCAAGCCAAGAAAAAGCAAGCAAGCAAAGAAAAGTCATGTGAAGACAATTCGCCATTCCAAACCTGTTTTCTTTGTTCATTTTTCAGCGTGAATTCTACCGGAGAAGAAAATCTAAAATTCAAAATTTTAGATGTTCTTCTCCAGTAGAATTTTCCGACTTGTTTCCCCTTCCTGATGGCTGAACTCTCTCGAGCAGAAACAACAAGAGTTCAGCCATCAGCAAGCCAAGAAGTATAACACTTGCTGAACTCTGATTGGCCGTGGGGCGATTGACCAATCATTTCAGGTGTGAAGTCCACAGCTGGGATAGGCTATAAAAGTAATCATTCCAGGAGGGGATGGTGGTCGGGGTTCGGGATGGCCAGATTTTTTGATTTTCTTCTCCGGTCAGAATTTACCTTACTCCGGTAGAAACAACAAGAGTTCAGCCATCAGCAAGTCAAGTAGCTGGTGACACACCCCCTGTACAATTTCCCGGCTTCCTTTTTCTCCTTCCTCATGCAGAAACGAGAGTTTAGAATTTTAGATTTTCTTCTCCGGTAGAATTTCCCGGCTTCTTTCTCCTTCCTCATGCAGAAACAACAAGAGTTCAGCCATCAGCAAGCCAGGTAGCTGGTGAGACACCCATCACCACACAAACAGAACACAAGAACAGCAGGGACTGGAAACAAACACAAAAGTAACACATTTTTAGATTTTCTTCTCCTGTAGAATGTCCCGGCTTCTTTCTTCTTCCTTCCTCATGCAGAAACAACAAGTGTTCAGCCATCAATAAACCATGCAAGTAGCTCGTGACACACCCATCACCACACAACAGAACACAAGAACAGAAGGGACTGCAAACAAGCATACAAAAAGAACATAATCATGACGGTATAAACAAAGCCAGAACAGAACAGCTGCACACACTTAGGCTGTGTTTACATGAGGCGTTTCAAACCAGGTTGAGTTCGACCCGGGTCCGAGGAAGGATTATACAATCCACCATCGATCCCTAGCCCCGACCGCTATTTCGTTACGGAATGATTACTTTCACAGCCCAAGCTCAGAAGTCAGACAAGAGCAAGGGGTTTGTTGTCATGGCCAAAACACACTACATGTCCAAAATTGAACAAATGCTCAGCAGTGAGGTCAACTACGAGAGGTCCGACATTACCATGAACGAAATGGACAAGACATCTGCTGGGATAGCAGAGGACATTACTACCGAAAAAATCCCACCACCACTCACTCGTGCACTGAAGCCACACAACTCGCGAATGTCCAACTTCTATGGACTCCCCAAAGACCACAAGCCTGGCCTCCCACTCCGCCCCGTGGTATCGACATGCGGTAGCCCGACCAGCAGTATTTCACTTCTGCTTGAGCGCATTCTTACGCAATTGCTTCCATTCGTCCCTGCACATTTATCGAGTACTGAAGATTGTATGACGGCGTTGCGCAACCTCGAAAACCTCCCAGAGGAATGTATTGTAGCGTCTCTGGATGTTGTGTCATGGTACTCGAATATTCCTATTCAAGAAAGCATCGATGCGGCCATGGAGTTATTGGAAGAGCATGACGAATCAGTTGATATGTTTGCACTGTCATTATCAGACATACGCGAAATGCTCATGTTTGTCCTCGAGTCAAATTTCTTTGAGTTTGACGGCGCCATCTATCGACAACAGCAGGGTCTAGCTATGGGCAACCACCTCGCGCCCCCATTGGCTATTATCTTTATGTCGAAATTCGAGTCACGTGCCCTGTCTGAGTATCCCCTGAAACCGCTCTTATATCGTCGGTATATTGATGATTGCATACTCGTTCGGATCTTTGGTATTGCGGCATTTCTGGCATTTGTTGATTATCTCAATTCCCGCCACCCATGGCGACGCATACAATTCACCGCAGAATATACACACACGACAACTCTCACACCATCAGTTACTTGGACCTGTCAATCTCGGTGTCAGGTGGCAAGTTGGACTAGGAGTTATTTGTCAAGTCGTCCCATAGTGGTGTACACTTGTCATATTTGTCTGCTTTGCCAATGGAAACAAAAATCCCTGTCGCCAACAACCAGATCCGCAGGGCAGTCAACGCAACAACGGAGGCAGGACGACAACGGGGGATTAAAAAGATCACCACACTCCTCCTTGAGAACCACTACCCACGGCGCATTATACAATCAGCTATACAACACTCCGACACCGCACGGACAACCGCACGCATCCGAGAGCAGCCCCACCAGCAGACACCACATCGGAAGGGGAAACGACAGTACACGTCACTTGTCAAGGTACCGTACGTAAATGACCAGCTTGCAAGGAGGGTTCGTCAAGTGGTCAGGTCGTTTGATAGAGATGTGCGTGCGGTCTTTACTTCCGGTCGCTCACCAAAGGATATGTTGGTCTCGTCGTCATTCAGCAAGCCACAATGCCCCAGGACGGTACAGCAGCAGAGGGAGAAGAGGGGGCGGGGTCGGCCGGCTGAATGTCGTGCATGCGATGGTGGTCTGAAGCGTGATGCTTGTATGTCCCAAGATGTGGTGTACTCTATGACATGTACCATCTGTCAAGAAGAATACGTCGGGGAAACAGAAAAGACAACACGCAAGAGGACTGAGGAGCACTACAGACAAGCCAAGAACGCGACATTGGGAAAGCCATGGGGAGACTATTATCGACAAAAGCAGCACACCTTCCCATCGTCACCGCAGTTCTCACCATTCGCCTATCTACAAGTTCTCACCAGCAGGCAACGGTCATACGTTGACCGCAGAATCATGGAGGCACTATTCATGAGAAAGAGGAAGCCGGCAGTGAACAGTGACAATGGTTGGCGACTGTTGGGTGATGTGTAAATACATCTGTCATTACCATAATTTGTGCAAGAATTTGTGCACTGTGTGTGTGTGTGTGTGTGTGTGTGTGTGTGTGTGTCTGTGTGTGAGTGTTGCTAGAAGTGTGTATTTTTCTGCTTTGTACTCACACTAGTAATCCTGCACTATCACTGCACTATATTTTCACTTCATACATATTACACAGAATATAATCTCGCTTCCTGAGGTATTGCAACATTTTACGCTATACCATCACACCTTTGGCCACTAGTACTTGTCACATAATATTAAACCCCTGTTTTGTCTACAGTAGACATATTCGTGATGATGGGCCTTGCCCGAAAATTCGAGCTAATGTATATCAATTCAGGGGCGTAGGAGGGGTTTTGGAAGTGGTACGACCGAAGGTCGGTGCGGCCGAAGGCCGTGTTGGAGGGGGGTCCGGGGGAGGTCCCCCGGGAAAATTTTGTAAAAAAGACACAAAATCCTGCGTTCTGGGAACTTCTGGCGCAGTGTGCAGTCGAGTCGAGTACAGTAGTGACTACATTTTTGTAGTGTCAGTACTCAGTACGACTGCAGATGCATAACAGATCTACGAAGAGTCTAGAAAAAAGGTCAAAGTCTGATGCGCATATGCATCGATGGATCCTGATTTTTTTTTTATTACGGTTTTGCACGTTCCGGACGGACCACACTTTTCGAAAAGTGGTACGGCCATGGTCGTACCAGTCGTAGCGGGTGCTACGCCCCTGCAATTGCAGTGTAGCCTAGAGACCCGGTTAGAGAGTGTGTACAAGGTGTGTGTACAGGATGTAGGGATTCAAGTATTGGCTACAGTGGAGTCTCCAAACCTTGAGAAAAATCTGGAAAAGTATCGTAAATATTTCTATCCGAGTTTGTTAATCGTATATACCACTCTTGGTCTAGAAAGAATACTTTTTTGATACCCATTGGAGTGCGAATTGTCTCTGCAATACTGTAGTAGTTTATGCGATAACAAGGATCGTTTGGTGATAACCGTTTGGCAATACTTCCTACTGCAGATCATGAAACTACTGTGCCACTGTAGTTTGATCAAGCCACTCAATGCCACGCCGGGCAGTGTGCAGCTCCCGACCTGCGAACACCGGGATGCAAACTGCTGCACGGCGCAAACCACTGGATCTGATTTCATTGAGCAGAACTGTATACTTCAACACATTTTACTGCTGTGCAGTCAGTAGCCCTTTCCCAAAGATGCTCGCCACTGTTTTCGCAACTTTTTGTAGTTTAAAGCCCGGTCACACATGCATTCGAAAGTAGCGGATCCGCTGAAGCGACGTGGCCGGAGTGAAAAATACCATGGCAACGGCGAAACGCGGAACTTCCGCTTCAGCGGAAACTCCAATCCGCTTCCTCCAAAATTTTCGAAGCGAGACTGTCGCTTCTGTGGAAAACATCACGGTCTGCTGTACATGTTTTTTTTTTAATGTTTATGCTTCTATGTCATTCGGATCTTCCCAAGTTGTACATTGTACTGTTGAGATACCGAAATCAAATAAATCAATACCATACCATGGACTTGCTACGAGAAATTTGTATGCGTATGATGTCCATGCAACAAAAAATGCGTGCAAGATAGTCATTCTCGTCTATTCTCCGTACCGTATGCGCCACAGTCCACTTTACTCTCATTTTTTCCGCCAAAGTAGGAGTTTGCCCTCTTTGTATGTGTGACCATACACATGTGGTTTTGCTGGAGCGACACCTGTCCTGGCTCGCTGTTGCAGAACCTCGACGCCGAAGCGAACCCCAGTGCATGTGTGACCGGGCCCTTAGGGCCGTTTCACACGAGGTATACATGGCTTTTCACGAATGGGCGTTCTAGGCACAGTACACAGCGCGTGATTTCACACGAGTGTCGCAACATGCTATTCAAGCAGCAGTTGCCATGGCAGCTTTGACCTGCCTCGCACAGAAGTCGTAAAATACGGAATCCGCACGCGAACGTGGGAGTTTTGAACACAAAATAATAATAATAATTATTATTAGTTTGGCAAGGAGATGTTCTCTCCCTGATTCTCGTTTTCTTTGATCACCACAAGGAGGGAAAGATGAACGGACGAGAGAGGTTGCAAAGGATGGCGAGGCGTAGAAGGACTGCATTGCCCTCGCTTGTTCAAAGTGTAATTTCAAGTTTTTCTCTGGATTCAACCATCCTGAGCGGAACGCAGCATTGAGTTTCTCGGCGATCTCCCTTTCCCTCACAATACGC